GGTCGCGTGCTCGAGATTCTTCCCTGAAGATGTATGGCACCAATGAAAGCCACGGGCCGAACCACGGGCCTTGGACACCGCCTCCTGCGCCCCAACCGCTCCCGCCGCAAGCCCAGCATCAAAACCATCCCCGACCTCACCCCCACAATCATCCGAGCCACCCGCCGTACGTACCGCCGCCGTATCAGCATCCTCATCACCACTTGCCGCACGAGGTAATTATTGACGATATTCCAGGCTGCTTGAATCGGCTATCTTCCCTACAACTCCAAGAATCTTTCGAAACTCGCTAGACCGAGTCGCGCACCGGTCTATCATCCGCCTCAAAATACGTTCGAAATTAACTCGTTCGTTAGAGCACGAGTTATTTACTCGTGATCGTTTTATTCGTCGACGACCATGTTAAATTACCGGTCTATCCGCTGGGAAAGAAACTGAATTCGAAGGGATATTTCGTCTCGTATCCAGCTTCTACGCATAGATCTAAATGAACGATTCATCGAAACCTCTGACCTTTTTTATCTAAAAGCCTCGTCGATGAATTGCCGTCGATCTCCGCTAATCTAGTCCGCGGAATTAGAAGCTACGATGGTTAAACTTGGAGTGAACCGTTTAAGGATACGGACCGAGTAGAAAGTGACCGAGTAGAAGGTGAAGTATGTAAAGCCGTCTGTCGTTGCCCTCTTATTGGGCTAATCGAGCACCGTTTGATCGAGGATTAGAGATTGTTACTCTGTGGCTACACGGCAAGGCGTACGCGTGATTAATATCGTAAGGGAAACCTACGACGATGACTTTAACTGCCTGTGGCACAAGTTCGCTTCCCACCACGAGCTTCGGTGTACAATCACGGCTATGCAGAGTATTGCATTCGCGAGACAAGTACAGACGATTATTATAACGTTGACAGTACAAGTTTCCTACGCGCTATTTTGACACCAACTCGGGTTAAGTGTTTGCCAACGCGCCTAAACGAGTCTCCCTCGACGCGCTACATCGCGAAGCGTTTCCTTCAAGAAATTCTGGATCGATCGATAATCGGTCACCGGTGATTCTCCCGTGTAATCCAGGCTCTACACGTCCGAGATTAATTTCTCGATTATTACAACGTCGCGAATGACAAAGCGAACTTGTCGTCGGCCAGATACTTTCCCGGCTCTCTCTTTCCGCGACATTTGCAATATTATCGAGGAAACAATTTAGCGACACCTTTCCGTGATTATCTCGTCTTGTCATCCAACCTATGGTGATTCCTCCTTAATCGCCGTACACGCTTCAGACGGTATATATATTCGGCAGCAAACGAATTCCCTTTTTTTTTTTTCTAACCACAAAGACTGCACACGCACGGGTATCGAAGGCAAAGCCAGCAAACGTAGAATTTCCTCAAGGCCTTCCGCACCTCTCACAATCACTTTATCGTAAAAAACCTCGGAACTCACAAAAGCCTGAGCTGGAGCAAGATTGATACCTCGATCCCTAGTGTTTGAAACGCACGCCTACGAGACAGATCGTCGTCCCTTTCGTCGGGTGTTCAAAAAGCCAAGATCGCTGGGGAATCTCGATGAAGGCATTGCTTTTGCGAATTCGCCTAATCGGAACGTCGGGATCGAGGGGTCCGTAAAGGCGAGGTTCTGCGATCGGCAGTTTAGTCTATAATCGGAAGCGTAGGGAACACGAGGTAGCGGATCATGGTGCAAAGATTCGGACGGATTATAACCGACGATTACAAAGTAGAAGAAAAAGAGAGAGAGAGAGAG